TGTGAGAAACTTTCCAGAGCACCTCTTTGCCCCAGTCAGCTTGCAGGCTTAAGAAAATTAAGAGGAAAAACTCAAACACATACCAGAGAAAACCAATTGATGGAAAATGTGATGGTGCCAAAATTTCTAAAGTATTTTAGAATATCAGATCCTCTTTTCAATGTCATGTAGTTTGATATTATTTTTCCCTAAAGCTTCATTTTCTGAAAATTTATTATATGCTCCAGAACAATTTTGTCTTCAAAAGAAATCCCACATCTTCTGTTATTTCAAAGAGCCATACTTGCACCTGGCAAGATGATGTAAGTGCTCTAGGTGCTGGCTGACTGAAAAGGAGACTCACAAAATCTCACTCTCTGTTTTTAATCCCAGGGCTTTACAAGAGTATGAGGAGTGTCCTTTGACAAGCAGAGAGGCATTTCAGCATTTAAAGTAAAAAAATAATAATTAATGGTACAGCAGTGTGGAGAGACATGGCAACTGCATTCCCAGACTTCAATTCCTACTCTGAAATACTGCATCACAAGTATACAACAGAGAGGAAGAGCTCCCCTGTCCTCCAAATCTGGATGAAATCTGCACTGCTGAGAAATGACAGCAAGAAACTCATCCCCCTTTCCTTAAAGGGGAAATCCTACCAAGTCAAAGCTGTAACACAGGAAAAACCTTTAGTGAGATTTATCTGGCCGAAACAGAAATCACAAATAGACAAATATGTAAATAGGAGAATATATTATCTGGTATTGAGGTAATATTGTGCCACTGCATCTGACTGCATCACCTGCTTTGTAACAGCACATATCCATTTCCAGACAATAATGAATTAAGTGCRCAAGATTCTTTCCTATTCCTTTTAACTTGCAAAACTGCAAACTTAAATATTTGAATTTCTTCCATAAGCCTTCAGAAACACTGAACTTTGATGTTTTTAAAGAGAAAAGATTATTCACTTTGCTGCAGGCAAGAAATTATAATTTCTTTACTGMTTCTGCCAAATGGTTCTATCACGCATTTTTTATTTTCATCAAAACAARCCACTTTAAATTAAGATTGTCCCATTACTACATAGTAATCAACATTTGAGGGGCAGATCAATTTGATAAACCTCTGCTTGGTTTCTCTGCCCGAAGACTCCTTCAAATCCAAGTGAATCATGGGGGAAGGGAGTTTTATTCCCTTTCCTCATGCTTGGCAGTTACTAGGAAGAATATCAGCTGCAGTTGTTTTATTTTGCTCATGCAACCAGAAGAGAAAACTCAGCATTATCCACGTGACTCTTAAACTAAATAATCTGAATTCAAACCTAGTGGTTAACAGAACGAAGTCAACAAAGCTTACATAAGGAGCAGCAAAACTTGCAGGTGATGGAAGAGRAAAAAAGTAAGGAGGAAGACTAGGGAGCAGGAAGTTTTATAAAAAGCAAAATAAACATGCAAAAGGAGGCAGGAAAAATCCCCTGGACTGGCACAATATGCAAAACACATGTTTGCATAGCAACAAGCAGGATACTTGGAAATGGGGAGCCAASCACTGCCCTCCTGTGCTAACAAAGCATTTGTAAAGGTTCAGCTCTTCAGTATTCTGGTACCAGGACAGCTTCTAGTTGAAACTATACTGAAGCCCATGAATGCAGACAAAATCCAGACCATCATCAATCTTGAGACAATGGGCAATGCTGACAGCACAGCTTCCCATTAATCTTCATTTGTCCTATCACATCCTGTCATTCTTATGCAAATAGCATATTTGAGGATATTTCTTTTCTGCACCCCAAGATAAGGAGAAGTGAAGCTGTCAGGAGCACCAGGATGTCAGCCTGTACCACGGGCCATCCCTTCACTCAGCGCCTCATGTTTTACATCACACCTAATGTGTTTGACATTCAAATTTGACCCAGCAGGAGGTAAAAACATCCAATGCTGCAGCAACGTGCATCTTGCTCCCTGTGCTGAACCATTCACCAAGGTCCCTGGGGAGCTGACAATCTCCATTTTTCCCTGATGTATGCTGGCTTAAGGAGTTTGAAAGTTGTTTAAGACGGGGAAAATAAAGATACCTGCATGGTAGGTAATGATAGCAATTCCTTCTCACACCAGAAGTGTGTCYCATACTAAAAGACCAGGAAAACAGGTTCCACTGAGAAAACACAGAACACACAAATCCTGATGAGTTAGTATGGGTTTTCTTCAATGGAAATCTGTCAGACCACACCTGAAAATATGTTTGTTTGAACACACCTTGTTCACATGTATGTCTGGACAGAACGCTTCATTTGAAGCAGAACAWTTTATACACAGGGTTTAAAATATTTTATGTGGGGACGAGTGATCTCTCATTAGGACAACTGATGCATAGGAAAATACAAACAGGCTTTGAATCATAAGCAGCTCCATAAAGTTACTGCTACATATTTTAGGCATGAAAAATCACTCTTGAGGGGTTAAGTCACCAAAACCAGAAGGCAGTTTTTCCAGTTATTGCTCATCAATTCTGCTTATAGAATGAAGAATAAAAGGAAAGATTTTACTACTACTGACTCAGAGTGTTTTGTTTTTTGTATCACTTTCAAAGAATGTTCAGAACATCTTGTTCCAGAATATTTCCCTTCCAAGAGAAATCACTTTCTGTACCATACATGGCTGAAAACAGTACGTGCTGGGTTTATATTCCTTCAAAAAAATAAACTATTCCAAAGTCTCTTCAGCATCACATGAATGAGATGCAACATAGCTGAGACATAAATGAGACACAACTTCAGGCTGCAATAATACTTCAATAAAATTATGACAGATTAGAGAAATACGTTATTAATAGACATCTGTGACAAGTCAAAACAAGTTCATCACTGCACACAATTTTTTATAAAGTCTGACTCAAATCTATTCACTATCTGAAAGCAACGTATTTCAGTGTTTGCAGGGATAATGAAGTGCACTAGGCTCTGGGAATACCCTTACATTTGATATCCCGACATGCTGTTTGCAAATTACAAGAGATTAATCATCACATAATTGMCAGTTAAGCGGGAGCCACATAAATTAAGATGCTGGATGGATTGTTATCAATTTTGCAGGCATATAAACTTAGAAAACACACATTGCTCAAGAATTTCTTGCTTTGAAAACCTAAAGAATAGTCACAAAAAAAGTAGAGAACACAGACTACCTTGCAATTTTAAAGCATGTGTGAAGCTTGTGCATTAAAAAATATAGTCACCATACATACCTATAAAAACAGGATGCCCACTTATTGTCATATAAAACTGATCATTTTCACATAAAATATTAATTTAACAAAATCTTACCTTMTGAAAGGGATCACCAATCACAGAGTAAACTAAAAGCCCCCACTGAAAGGTTTACCATTAGTGAAATACAAGTGCTTTCTGGTGTCAATCTTTTTTCTTCCAGGGAAAGGAGAAAGTACAACTCACATTATGAAAACATTGCATGGACCCAGGAGGAAATGGTGACCTGGTAAAGCCTGTCTGGTCCAGATGACAAAACTGTGTTGTTCATTTTCAGAAGTCCACCAGTCCCATAAAAGTCTTATGTACAGAAGACATTAAATTTTTATTCATCATATCAAAATAAAAACTTTCAGTCCAGTGGTCTGGATTTGCATCAGTGATGTCGGTACAGTATATAGTAACTTAAGTTCTATGCAAAAGTTCTCTGTATTGCAAGGTGGCACCCTTAACACATAGTAGTTCTGTTCCAATACTGCCAGTATTTCAAATGTATCCTAAAATATGAGAAAGTAGCATTCACTGCGCACCCAGGAGAAATCAGAAAAAGGGACAATGACAGAGAACTGAATTCCCAGGTGGTGATGCAGACAACACAGTACAATGTTGAACTGACTCAGAAGGAAATTTCCCTTTTGTTCAACAGAGTGTTCAAATCCAGCTTAGTCTGACCCAAAGAACAGCCACCAAAGAAAAACAAAATCAATCTGACAGGTGAAATCTTTAAAGYTGGCATTTTGAATAAGCACACTTTTCACTACTGAGTTTTATTATCTTTTGTTGCTAGCTCTTCTTTGCCATGGCAGGCTCACAGATAAATGTACAAGTAAGCCTTAATCAGGTCTCCATCAGTTGTGTGGCTTCCTTCAGTTCAAAAGGGAAGAGGCTGTGTTCTGGAGCCAAAATGCAAGGTTTTTTCTCAAGACTTTATGTGCATACAAACCATACYTTAAGTGTAACATTTCATATATATATTTATGCCTGAATGCTCCAAGACAAACAACTTAAAATGTGAGAATCCTTTAAGAAACTTAAGAAACTCTAAAAAGATAATAAAAACTAAATTCATTAACTTGTCATCAAATTCATTAATGTTTTTAAGGCGAAAAGCTATGGAATAAAGAACCTTACCAACACTACAAAACATACTTTAAAGGAAATAACTTCAGACTGATCTGTCTACTACATTTAGCTGTGAGAAGACACAGCAGTGGTAGATGGTTTCAAAGTGGATTTTCTAGAGGGCTGCTGGGCTGGCTTTGTGCTTGGTGGTTTTCTGCAGTAAGTGTTACAAYCCTCCAGATTTTGCAAACTTGGGATATTCCTGTCATGCTAGCAGAGCTGCTGCAGGATCTGAGGAGAAATTGCCTTGTTTACAGTTGGAAACCGAATAGCTGAGACATTTAATCCTTGAAAGGAAGTAACTAATGAAACCAAYGAACTCCAGCAAACTCCTGCATAAACAAACACAACAGAAGCAAAAACCACAGCAGCAGTTTGACAGCTTGATTTAAGGAAAATTTCTTCTAGGAAACAGATATTTAAGGCTACCATAAAACCATTTTTTTTCCTGTTAGAAGTTCTGTAGAGGGGGAGAAAAGTGAGGCACATAWACCATTCCTCTGCCTTGTCTTCATTTTCAAACTTGTACACTTTATCATTAAATTGRTCAGACAACAGTTTGGAGAGTATAAGAGGATGCAATTATACCAAAATAATGAATTATAAACATGAACAGTGCATCTATTTGTACCTTGTCTATCATGTCCGGTCTGTTCGTAGCTGCCAAAATTGTCACGTCCTTCAGCTGTTCTATCCCATCCATTTCCGTCAGCAACTGTGCCAAGACACGGTCTGCTACATTTCCAGCACCTGAAGAGCTGATTAACAGAAAAAAAAAAGTCACAGCATTAGCCCTCCCTTCCTAGAAATTAGAGAAAGGAAAAGCTATTCTTCCCAGCTTACAGCAATGCACCTTCTTGCCTTAATTCTTCACGATATTTATTTTCACCTCCAATCTCTGAAACAGTATCAGTGATATGAAGTGAGTAAAACCAAATCAGAGAATTTGAGTTCCACAGATTTTCTTGGTATTCAGCAAAGCAACTGAGATTTGGGGTTTTTTTACTTACTGCCCTGCTATGGAGGTTGTAAAGAACTTAATACAGTGTGGATATCTGGAATAAACATTTTTAAGTAAACTAAATTAATGCAGCTTCTTTACGAGACAGATAAGCTTTCATTTTTAGCACCATCCAAGTGAGAGCTCACCCTATGCAGTATTAGAAATTRGGCAATTATGTGTTTTGCAGAGTTGCTCTACATTTTTATGTTCCCTCCATCACATGAGAATAAATTGAGTGTTGACCAACTGCCTCATAATTGCACTGCCAGTCCTTGAACTCAGCTCATTTTCCAGATACCAAGAAAAAAAACCCAACACTGAAAAACCTGAAAAATCCAGTTTTGAAATCACCAACATGTGAAAACTGAAGCAGACAAGGCATTAAATATTCCCTCTGCTAAAACAGGACAGGGATACTGAAGCAGGCTAGAGACARCAGCTGGAGATTGCACCAAAAATATGAGTTTTATCCTCCTTTGCCAGAAACTGGGAATCCTGGTCTTGGCACGCACTAAAACCTCTCTRTTTCCAACACAACCATCTCCTGTGGATGGGAGGCACACACCTCCATCATCTCTCATCAAAGTAACTGCTTTTCCAGGGCTATTCCTTGCTCTGCTGCACAAGGGAAGGTTTCGCTTCTCTACCCTTAAATAGGCTCTTTTCAATTACATAAAATTAATTTATTACCATTAAATAAAACGAATCTCTCCAGTTCTTCTGGATCTCTCTATAAATGTCACATTAAGAAGCAAAAATATATTGATATTCAAAACAAAGCCAAATCTATATAGGATTAAGATAACTTTTTAATCTCAAAGCTTTTAAAAGTGCTTTTCCAAAAGTTCTCTTAAGTTTTTATACAGATATACAGGCACCTCCACACACACACAGAAGTGCAGTATGATCATCCTGATTTTCAAAAATAAAAATATTTTCATTTTCATTTTCAAAAATAAAAATACTAAATATATTAAAACTCAAGTGTTCCACTTATTTCCATCAGACACAGAATGCACAAATACAGTTGCAGAATTATTACATACATATGTTGCTGCAGCACTGCCACCCACCAYCAGCCTGCCTGCAACCACACTGATGTCCCAGAGCCACAGCAACTGTCACTGTTGTACAGCTCTCCTCCAAACAAATTCCCTGACTTTCCTAGCCTACAACTGGTTCTGCAATTTTCCAGTGCAAAACAGYTAACTTATGACACCTAGTCTGGAAAACATCTTTAACAAGCTATAATAAATGTTGGCTAAGAGAGTGTTCAGGTTGCTAAGAAATATTAGAGGAAGGAACTTGSGTTACCTGGTTGTCAGCTTTTGGGGTTTCTGCAGCCACACTGGAAATTCCCTGGTGAYATCTGAGCATTTCTAACAGACCCATCGGTCACAGTCCCACTGACTTATGGAGGGCTGAGTGTGATAAAACACTTCAGGTGCTGGACATGGATAGCAAATGCTTTTGGAAGGACACACTGCTTAAAGGAAATTAAAATCAACTTTGTAACCTTAGCTAGTCTCAGTAGAGATCCAGGCCTCCCATCTTGCAAGAGTTTTATTCCCCTTTATACCCAACAGACTCAGTAAAAGAAAATGCTAAGCAACGAGAAAAAAAAAAAATTATAAGACTGGGACCAAAATGTTAACGTTATATAAGAAGATCTGAAGCTAGAAGATTTGGGAGGAGATGCTAAACTTTTGTTTCCTCTAAAAAATAAATATAAATTTCATTTTAGAGAGAGGTGGCTAGAACAGATATTACATCTTTCCCCAGTATAAACAGTTCTCTTACAMGCTTCAGACTGCAAAAAAACCAACCCCATAACACATTAAAGAAGTGTTTATTCTCAAGAAAATCCCCATTGGGGAACGCACATTGCAAAGACTTTCATGCACTTAGGGCATCATCAGAAAATTGCAGTTAGGCAATCACTGATGGTCAAACAATGAGCAGGGCTTCCAGGATATTATTAGGGGCTTTAATTATTATCTCTTAAAAGTGAAGGCAATAATTTTAAGCCCATGCATGCAAAAAATGTGAACAATAAAAGCATTATCAAGTGAAGAGCTGTCTGGGTCCTGACACCACGGATTTCTAATGTCAGTGCTTTTATTTACATAGTTCACWAAGCTGCCACACGATGCACCACTTTTAGCACAGAGTCTACAATAAATTAGCTTCTGGCTTAAYAGGACACCCTATAAAAATCCCAGGCAGGCACAGGGAGATATCTCTTTCCCAGCTGCTCAGAGCTGCCTCAGAGCCACACGGTGCGCTCCGAGGGGTGACACAGAAGGATGCGATTTTCCATTTTCCCATGGTTTCCCAGCAAGAGTTTCAAATTAACACAGGCAGCGCTCATTAAGGCTGCCCAGAGTTTTGACGCAAACARCAGCCAGAGAAACAAATCATGATTAACCCTCCAGTCCCACAGAGGCACTGCCAAAACCAACTTCCAGCCAAGGGGCTGCCTKGCCTCCCCCCGCTCCTCCACCTGACCTCCACACGTTGATGTCATCATCACGACTGCCTGGAAATAGTCCTCCAAAGGCACGTCCTGGTACAAACTAATTTCCTGTCAACACGCTGCCTGCAAATCCAGGCAGCCAGAGCTAAGCCCCTCACATAATCCACGCAGGGCCATGTGTGCACGGGTGTGTGCATGCAGGAGCCGTGCCCCAACCAGAAATACCTTCGAAATAAAAAACGTGTGAGCAAAGAGGAGCCTGCCTGAGAATTTCAAGTCACCGCTTGTTTTGCCCTAATGAAATATATCAGGCTATGTGTTACTTTAATTTTTTGCCAGCCCCTCTTTATTTACAATCCCCAATGAAGTTTTTAAAGGCAGAGAAGGTCATTATATCAGTTAGAGCCAGATATCCTCCTCTATGTGATATCCCAGCCAATCCAAGCGTCCCACCGGTCTCAGACCAAGCACAAGCGCACTCCGGCCCAGGCACTTGGCTTGATCATCAGAGAAGACTCCTGAAGTTGTCAGGTAGCACTTTCCATGGATTAAGGCAGACTATTCACTGTGAATATGACAGGGTATTGGTATTTTGGTATTTTACTTTGGCTAAAAGAGTATTCCCAATACACATTTTGGCAGAAGAAATCATGCATTCTACAGTTCACCAAAGACTTGCAATTAATCTGAATTAACTCTGCMTTTGTCTGAGAGATCTTAGAGATCACAAGCACTGGCTCCAAAATCAATATAGCAGGAGAGAGCTCTCCACACCTTTTATTTCTATCTCCCCTGGCCTTATCCAAGCCAGCTGGATTCATGTATCCGTGGGCACTGAAATTTCCCCCTGGACACCWTAAACCACTCTCATACTTCTTCCAGGGGATATAAAAGCAACCACAGCCTGATCCTATCACTGCACCATAGAGTACATACAGTTCACAAACTTATATAGATCTTCAAGCCAAGAAGATTTTGTTTCCAGACATAACCAGATGTATGAAATCACATTAAATCTGTTACCCTTCCTGCTATATAGGAGTTTCTTTTACAGCAACTTCTTGTTTTGTACATTTTTACTTATTTAATTTCCTTTCCTTCCCCCTACCTTCTTCTAAGAGATTTTTTTAATATTTCAAAACTAAAAACAGTCTGAGAACGCAGTCACTACAATTTCATCCCACAATGAAATTTGGTGAGCATCACCACTGCAAGCTAAAGCAAACATACATTTGCATCACCTGACCAGCTACAATGCTTCTGAAAAAATACTTCACAGGCTTTCCAATACCAGATGTCATTTCCACTGAAAAAAATATTTAAATCTCCAACACCACTTAAATCTTGTGAGGAAAAACAATAAATCTCCACCCCACCACCAACTCCAATGGCACTGAGGCCTGTCTGAACACTTCGGCTCCAGAATCAGGACCTTAATTTAATCATACTGCTAAATTGTAGATATGGAAACGCAGGAAATCTTCACACAATAACACTTTGAGAACTGTTAAAATCACAGCAGCAACTGTGAGGCTGCAAAAGCAGCAGGGAGGACCCTCCTGCACAGCTGACCCTACCTCAGGAGGAGGCATACCTCAGGAGAAGTATCCAGGATAAATTACTGCAGACAGATTAATCCCCACATAGCTGAAATCTATAATGCAGGTTTTGTGAGAAAGGACTCCAGCCCACCTTCTCTTCCAAAACATCCCATCAGGCAAGATTTACATACGGATAAAAACTGCCTTTATTATTTTTCCCCCCTCTAACAAAAGAATTGCAATCATAATTTATAGGTTTTAAAAATACTTGTGGACGTGGTATCATCTCAAATAACCCTTTCACTGAAACCTCTGGAAATAATTTAATATCAAAACAAATGTAAAACTCATTGACATGACAAAATGTTCAGTATCAAAAAAATTTAAACAGGTTGAAATAGACCTTCCTGGCAGGACTCTGCACCTCTCTGTGAACCACTGAGGTAAAAGGTTCCTGAAATACAGGAGCCCCCTGCCAGCAGACTCCCACGCGAGAGCCGCCTCGCTCACACAGCCTGAAGGATTTTTATTGAGTCTGACATTTCTGTCAGGGMTTTGCAGGGGGAACCTGTCAGCAAGGAGCACCTGCCAAGCCCAGCTTTTCAATGCTGCGATCGTAATTAACTGTCACACTCTTTTATTGCCCTCCCTCACAAACTCAGGTGAAATACAGCTTTGGCAGGTTAAGCTTTTCCACAGYATTTGGAAAATAAAAAATTAAAATAATCCACTCCAATA